TTGACTTGCCTTTGCAGTTGTTTATGACAAGTGCCACAGGTTTGGAAGGATACCTTTGGTTAAAACAGTTGTACAAGTGACTGTGCACATATATTCTATGTTTATATCATAGATTTCGTACTTGCATTTACAACATGTAGCCAGAGTCTAATGTAGCTGTTCTTCTAACAATAAATACATGATAAACCAACAAAGATGAGTAAAATGTAAAACATTTATTCATGAGGAATTCATTAATTTTCTTATCTAAAATGATGCAAACATTGATTTGCATGTCATGTAGTAATTAGCAAACATATGATAAATATACATACACACACTTTTTTAAGAAATATATATTTCACATAACAACAAAAATATAGAATGTATTTCAACCAAATGTATCATGAAAAAATATTTTTGGCAAGATGGATATTTGTGCATGATTCATGAACTAGAAATATATCACATATGATGAACACCACAAACAGATATTATCGACAATACGACTCGAGAAATTGGTCCCCAAATCACCGAGAAATTACTGATGTGAAGATTGAATACTAGAAGCAAAATGTATACTGACCTCCAAAAGAAGCGCAAAAGAAATAAAACCATGTATAAAGTGCCAGTGAGCGAACTTTCAATATGATATAGAACATACTTTACAAGTGAGTGAGTCATTTGGATTCCATGCCACTGTATCGGGAATTCCAGCTATATCACAGTGTTCCAGCTTGATGTTGGATAATACAAGGGTATTTCTTACACCTTATTTACCACTTTGGAAACCCATGAGTGAGTTTAGTTTTACGCCACACTCAGCAATATTCCAGCCATATGGCAGAGGTAACCCATGAAGATCTGGGTTAAAATTGGTCTTCAGCAACCCATGCTTGTCATAAAAGGAGACTAACGGGATCGGGTGGTCAGACTCTGTGACTTTGTTGACATGTCATGTTGGGTAGATCAACGTTCATGCTGTTGATCACTGGATTGTCTGGTCCAGACTCGAATATTTACAGACCGCCGCCATATAGCTGGAATATTGCTGACTATGGCATTAAACAACCAACCACTTTGGTATAAGGATATGGGCCTGACTAACCAGGAAACACACTCAGGGCACATCCAGATTTGTACCCAAGATCATAGTTTTTTGGCACACCTTCACAGATCTCTCCAGAAAATTGCAGCACCTAAAACAAAATGGCCACCTGTGTCCCCTTCCCTATCCCAAGCGACAATAGTGAATATTACACTGGGATTATTTGACCTGTATGGCAGTTATATCATAACATTGTCAGTTGACCCAAACAAAAGACCAAATGCTAGGTTTTTTTCGTTTTGTTTTTTGGGTGTCTGTGAGTTTTATTTCATACTCTGCAATATGCAACCTGTAGGCACAGTGTTCCTGAAGTGAGCATCTCAACATCAGGCCATGTGTTCCAATTCCACAAGTGTGCCCAGGACTGAGAGAGGGTTCTCAGTATCCATGATTAAATCCCCTTTCGATTATCTCCCCCTTTGGGTTCCCAGTATCCCTTGCTTATCTCCCCTTACTCGAGGCAGCATATTCTGACAGGATGTTGTGACCTTACACTGCCATGTAGAAATTGATGGATCTTTTTCGTCACAGTTTGTATAATACAAGCAACATCAAAGGTAGTAAACAAAGAAAGGGCCTCACGCACTGTACCCAAGTGTGGAATCAAACCCGGGTCTTTAGACATGATGAGCAAACACTACAACCACAAGGCCACAAGTTCACATATGACATGGGTTTGTACTTACATCTGATCAGATTAGGACAAAATAGCTATTAGAAAGCAGTTCAAAAGACTGGTGATAGATGAATAACTTCTTTCAACCTATTCCCTATGAGTATAAAGCTAAATTGAGAACATACTGACATTAATGTTATTTCGAACAACTACCTAGCTGAACAGTTTATGCTACATTTGAACTGAAAATAGCAGGAAAATTTGTTTCCACTCGATAATGGATCACATATGAATCTTTGTTGGACAAGGACCTAGAGGACAAAACTAACAAAGCCAAAGAAAAAGTGCACCAAAGCAGTAATTAATCAGATTTTCAATTACTTGGAAGGACATTATGCCAACTGAATTAAAATAGTATTTCTCAGCCCTTTCCTTCAATTTTTTATCAACTATCATGCTGCTTGCAGGAGCCGAAAATAACTACACATGCAAGACCAATCAGTTACATAAAATGTAAATTTATTATTTTGCCATTGGAAACAGAACAAACTAATACCAGTTTGTTAATTTTGAAAACCTGCATCTTGATCTAATCCTATGCAATTCAACTGAATTGTAGCATCATCTAATTCTATGTATTCCAACTGGATTCCAGTATCAGTTAATTCTGTGTGGTCAACAAAACCCTAGCATCAATTAATTATGGATAGGTCAATTAGATTCAGTTAATTCTATGTTAGTGTCAATTGTATTCAGTTAATTGTATAAAAGTCAGCTGAGCTCTAGTATAAGCTAATGCTATCTAAGTCATTTGGATTCTAATATTAGTCAATGCTATGTAAGTCAGCTGAGCCCAAGTATCAGTCAATTCTGTGTAGTCAACTGAACCCTAGCATCAGTTGACCACCCCTTTGGTGTAGAGGCTAGAGCGTCAGCCCGGAGAGCGGAAGGTCGCGGATTCAATCCCCGGCCGCGTCATACCAAAAGACGTTAAGATATGGTACTTGTTGGTCCCTTCCTGGCGCTCGGCATTAATGGGTACAACAAGGACTGGTCGGCTCGGGAGTCAGTATAATGTGTCTGAGTGGGGTAGTCATGCTTCACTGTGGCATGGTATCTCTATAAAACCAGCTTCAGTCTGGGTTAGTACAAGCAGCCGCACAGTGACCTTGATTGGGAAATTTTGGGGAAAATATTTGTATTGGTTTAATTTTCTTATTTGAGGAATATTATAACTTTCTATTTAAAATTTTATCATAACATTGAACTTTATCAATGAATGATAACCTGGTATTTTAATATGACATTGAATCATAGCAATCTATTGTAACAATGAACTTTAACATTATATTTTAACATGGTATTAACGGCGTGTTATGACACTGAATATTAACAATCTATTTTTACATTGAACTTTAACTTGGTATTTTAACAGTGTATTATGACAATGAACCGTAATATTGTATTATAACACTGAACTTGTATTGTAACATTGCATCTTTACATAGTATTGTAACACTGTATTAAAAGCAATTATGTAAAACTGATCGGTTAAACCGTCATTTTTGTGGGGTAATTTTATTTGTGAAATACAAGACACCTTTACAAAGATATAGATTGCACAAGCCTCTACCAATATGAACATTTACTGTCATTTGCTGTCAAAGTTTACTGTCATTTGCTGTCAAAGTTTACTGTCATTTGCTGTCAAAGTTTACTGTCATTTGCTGCATATTTGAGGATGAATCAGTCTCTGAGCAGGCATAATTAGTCACTGATCCCATGATATGATTGTAAAAATATGGTTTTGTAATTATATTAATTAATTTTAAAAACCCACAGTTCTGTTCTCACAATATTTTTGGAAACAAGAATTGGTATAAAAATGGCTTCACTGAGCACAATACTTATCAATATATTACTGTAGATAACCGATCTCATAGAGAAGCCGAGGTCCTAACTTGACCTTTAAAATCAGTATCAAAATGGTATGTTCCGTAAATAACCGAACCATCAACCTTAGCTCATCTTTAAGTCGTGATCAGTCATCGGAAACAGAGTGTCAACAAATCCATATTGAATACTGGTAATATACAGTAGATCTTTCCACACTTCCACTACTTCATAACACCTTTGAAGGACAACTGTATTTCAAGAAAATTACTATTTATAAAGAATCTGGTAGTACTGATTTTTTCGTGTTCATATTGCATACATTTCCCCTAGCAATACAGTTGTGTGGCGAGTGTGATCTGTCCTGCAACAACTAATATAACAACATATAAACAGTTTCTATTCTTGCTATAATACTTGTTTCATATATACACAAAGAACTTAGTTAAGCACCCCCTGACATTTCTCACGATTGAATGAGCCCCGATCCTAACTCTTTGGAGCATATCTGGGACATGATTGGTCGCCGTGTGCAACAAAGGGATCCTCCTGTACAGAACCTAGCCCAATTGGAAGCTGCTTTACACGAGGAATGTCGTAGACTGCCCCTTCAGTGGATCAGGAGGCTGACAGGGGGTATGAGGAGGAAAGTGCTGGCTGTCATACAGTCACATGGAGGTTACACTCGGTATTGACCTTGAATCATGTAAGACACGCAAAATGACGTTTTGAATGTTCACATTCATCAATAAATTCAACATTAAACATTCCAGTGCCATACTTGTACAGACATGGTTTTGTATGAAAATCAGTGTGTTATTGCAATGTGCAATTATCTTTATAAAATCAACATAGATTCTAATCATTTTGTCATTTTTTATGAGTCAAAGGATCATACGGGTCGGAAAAACTCATGTTTTTCCATTGTGGTCACCACAAGAAGTTTTATGTCCATGTTGAAAACCTATCATTGCTAAAATACAGGGGTGTTTGATTAAGTTATTTGTGTATATGATTGCTCTGATGAGTCTTCCTTAACCAAATCTAGTGAAATTTACAATATATGTAATTTCCAGTTGATCTCACAAGACTAATATTACATGCTAAGGACATTAATCTCTAATAAAAACAATGTCATAATAAGAAATACAATCAAAGTTGTGAACCATTATGCCAGGTACTTGTTTTTGATAAAATGTACATTCAGATTGACCGTGCTTGATTTCTCAAGTTCATTTCACCTGAAGGAATTCAGTGTTTTTAATTTTTTTGCACATCATAAGAGATAGCAGATTTTTCAAAAGGGAGAAAACAATGTAACCTAGTGTGCATTATTCTGAAGAGAATATGGTATGATGTTTAAAAGTGAAATGAAAGAGATGAGTAAAAGTATCACGACATTAGAATTCATATTTCTTATTCAAATATAGAATAAAGTTTCAGCTTGCTGAAATAGATAAGTCCACTATCACGTAGACATTTTTACAATAAACCAACACTTAACAAATGATGAAAATATTTCTGCAATATAATGACTACTGAATATACGACAGTCACATATGAAAACAAAACAATATCTTTTCATTGTCCATAAAAACAAGACATAAACAAATTGAGAAAAGGACTATTCATCAAAGTTCCACCTTACTTGACCTTGGTGTAGTTTAATCCAAAGGACAGAATCAGACAGATCCAATGCCATACACCTCCATACTTGTAAAACTTCAAGAACTTAACCTTGACACCATCTTCAAGGCCACAAGAGGCACAAGATCACTGGTTCACAACACAGCATGAAGGCCATATCAGAAACAGTTTCTCTCCAAAAAATATCCGAACAAGAATCCGTACGTTCTAAGGCATCCATAATATTTCCCATTTGAAATATGTCAAGTTTGTACACACAAAAGGTGAGCTTTTCCTGCATGTCATACTCTGGAAATGTCACAGGTCATGGATCAAAGGTCATGAATGGTCATAAGCCATAGTTCAAAGGCCATGGGTTACAGGACAAAGGTCATAGGACCCTTGAGCATGAACCTGAATTATATCAAATGAACTTGGTTTCCAACACAGATTCAGGAATATACACAGCAAATATATATACATGATCTATGGATATTTCAGCTTGTGAACAGGTTGTCCTGTAGTTGAGATTGGGGCACATTACTGTAAGTCGGGTAAAAGCTATGAAGAGGAAGTTTAGCGTAGGCAGACTTAATGATCTTGATGCGTTCTGCCCGGGGAAACTGTCCGATTGCCGTCAATAATTCTTGTAGACAGGCTATCATGGTCCATGGTGCTTCTTGATGGAGATGTGAGAGGCATGTGATGATTGTGTGGCTGTGTGGAGGTGTGGCTGGACATGGCCGGAGGACTGGTGTCCCATGCAGGGTTAGTGACTAGACCATCTACTCTGTGGGAATAGTCCAACACAGGCGGGGAGTACACACTGGGTAAAGATTGGAGTGGTGACATCTGATGGGGGGGATGGAGGAATGTTGTCATGGTTAAGATGGTTAGTTGGAGAGATCTGTAATTGATGGGTGTGGGAAGTTGGGGAGAAATTGGAGCTTAGATGAGGAACATTGCTCTGATGAACAGACATGGGTCTGCTTGATTGTGGAGGTGAATGTATTCTTGTGCTAGATGCTGTGAATGAAGCACTATTCACTGATGATGGGGAGAATGTGGTGGTTGTAGAAGGAGTTAGACTTCCTGGGGGAGATGCCATCATTGAGTTGTCCTGGATGTTGTGACTTGGGGACTGACGTAAGGTACTGGGAGATGTCTCGGTGAAACTGGTATGAGAAAACTGTCGGCTACTCTTGTCAGAGAATCGATAACTTGTTCCTGGAGAGTGGGACGTCTCGTTTGAAACATCCATCATGGTGGGGTAAAATGTAGGCTCGATCTCGCCAAGGTCGATTTGGGTTATGGTGGAACTTGCCGTCGACTGTGCCCTTGGGAACGTCATATGTCCAAGGTTGCACTGGGGCACATCTGTTTCTGGTGTTGTCTGCTGTGATGTCTGCTGTGATGTCTGCTGTGATGTCCCTTCTGGGCTAGACATCTGTGGGTTCGATGGGCTGAATCTCTTCTGGTGGTTGAGCTTTTCTTGAAGGCACTGCAGTTCTGCTTGTTGCTTAGCCTTGCTTGCCTGGTAACAAGAGTGAATGAGATACATTTAATGCATCTTTGGACAATATTATAGATACATCACAGCATGTCAGCTCAATAGTATGTTTGTTTGTTTATTTTTAACGCCGCATTCAGGTATATCTTAAATATTCAAGCCTCTATAATATCAAGTCTGTACCAGACAATCCATTGCATAGACACTGAGTAGGAAATTTAGGCAAACTTAGGTTGCTAGGGATTTAGTCGGTCCCGAGATCCATATGGGGAAGTCATATTATTGTGTGGTGTGGCATGGTGTGACATGGCATGGCAAGGTGTTTGTGGTGTGCTGTGCTGTGCTGTGTGAGAGAGTTTAGTTTTATGCCGCACTCAGCAATATTCAAGCTATATGACAGCGGTCTGTAAATAATCGAGTCTGGACCAGACAATCAAGTGATCAACAGCATGAGCATCGATCTGCACAATTGGGAACCGATGACATGTGTCAACCAAGCCAACGAGCCTGACCTCCCGATCCCGTTAGTCGCCTCTTACGACAAGCATGGGTTACTGAAGGCTGGTTCTAACCCGGACTTTCACGGGTTGTGCTGTGGGGTGGGGTGGGGTGGGGTGGAGTGTGGTTGAGTGAGATCTGGCAGGGGGTGGCCAATCTCTGAGTGTGGCCATGTGTGTCACCAGTCCTTGGTTTAATCCTTAATACCTAACATCAGGCTGGGTAAGAACAACTACCATGTTTTTGTCTTTTGTTAGGACAGGGCTGGAGATCTTACAACCAACCCTACATTCTCCAGGCAAGCAAACTATACACTAGACCAGGAAGTGGTCACCTAATGGTGAGATCCAATACCTTTATTGAGTGAAGGCGTTCACATATCTTCTGGAATGTGGCAGAACAGTGTCCAACTTCCTGAACCTTCTTCAGCTCAGACTCCAGCATCAAGATCACAGCTTCCTGCTCCATCAGACTCCGCTGCATCAGCATGTGCTTCCGCTTAAGCTGTTCTGTGAAGTTCCGGACAAAGTTCGGCAGAGCTTTCAATGCAGCACTGCCTGGAGACTCTGGTGACAAACTTTCCTGGAAACAAGAAAGAAAGAACAGTTAAGAATGATATCAGTCATTTCCATCAGTGAGTGAGTGAGTGAGTTAATCAGTGAGTAAGCATGGTTTTAAGCCAGTTTTAGCAATATTCCAGCAGAATCACGTCAAGGTACACCAGAACCCCTGTCTGAACTGATGAAGATAAAGAAGTTACCCTTTAACCCACGAACACATGGTGCTAAAAGACCTACAACCATATTCAGGCACTCCTCCCGACCTGACCAAAGGTGAATATACATGGCCGTGCTGAGTCTTGTGAGGAAGTACCGTCAAGCCTGTCAAACGTAAACATGGACGACACGAAAATCTCTCAGACTACTGAATTGTGCCAATACATTTTGTGAATGATTAGGCCAGAAATGATGCAGTAACTTGACACAGCCTTGAGCTGTTAAATACAAGCTCTTTCATATGACAATATGCATCTAGGTCCTGACACGTTTTTCAGCCTGATTCAGCCCGACCTGACCAAAGGTGAATATACATGGCCGTGCTGAGTCTTGTGAGGAAGTACCGTCAAGCCTGTCAAACGTAAACATGGACGCCACGAAAATCTCTCAGACTACTGAATTGTGCCAATACATTTTGTGAATGATTAGGCCAGAAATGATGCAGTAACTTGACACAGCCTTGAGCTGTTAAATACAAGCTCTTTCATATGACAATATGCATCTAGGTCCTGACACGTTTTTCAGCCTGATTAATCTAGGAGCCTTGAGTTAAAGTAGATGGGTGAGTTTAAGTATTCCAGTAATCTCATCATATCATGTGGTGCTGGCAAACCTAGAACCAGGGATCTGAACCCATAATCTTAGGTTTCTGGCAAACTGACTTCAGATGCCACCTGTGCCCCCCAACCCCTTTTGGTTTAATACTGCAATATAAACATTTCCATTCATAGAAGGTCAAATAAAAGTGAGTTACAAGAGGTGAGAGGTGTTTCCATGTGACGAGCAAACATTTTAACCACTATGCTACCACACTGCGACCACATCATCTACAACGTACCTGCTCAGGAATGGTAGATGATTTACTGGGTGAGGAAACATCAGGACCCACCGACATCTCCGACACTGAAAGAAAACATCAGTTATAACTCCACAGGTGCGTCCAGGTGTTACAGTCTAACAAAGCAAATCTATCAATCAATGTAATACAATGTGCTACAAGTTGTCACCAATAGGCTTATTGAGCACACTGATGAACTTAGGTACATTTAGGTAAAATAGTACCCCAGTTTGATTTTTAAAGTTCCAGTTGTTGCTGAGTATATGAGTTTATATTCATATTTCCTTTGAGAAAAATAAGGAAATATTTTTAGAATATAAACGTAAGGTATATAAAAACAAAACAGTTTTGGTAAAAATAACTTCTTCAGTTTTGATAATCAGAGAAAAGAAAGAAAACTATACTGAAAGAAAAGGGTTTTAAATAACATTCGAAAAGCATCTTTTTTAACCTACTTTGATAAATTCATTACAATAATTAGTATACAGAAAAAAAGTGTCTTCAATTAAAATTATTCAACATCTATGAAATTGGGGTCTGCAGTTTCATTAACCAAGTAAATAAAAGCATGTTTAATCAGAAATGGCAATAAATCCATTGAAAAGTTTGGAACTGAAAATATTTTACCAACTTGAAATAATATAAGAACATACATGGGCTATGGTTGTTCTGTATTTGTGGTGACGGCGTCACCCGGGGATCAGGGGTCGAGGCCTCCTTCGTGGTCCGAGGAGAGAGTCCACTCTCACAAACCGAAGACAGAACTTTGGATGACTTCAAGATAGGCATAGGCGCCTTGTCCATATTGTCCGTCAACAACAGTTTTAACATTGAGCCAGTAGGTCTGTCACCAGAACAACATCCTTTAGGACTTGACATTTGCGAGTGGTTACCTTCCTTGGAAACTGTTGCGGAGCCTGATGGACAACTGCCTCCAGCCCTTGGACAAGAATGACCTTTACCATGTCCATCATGTGAGCTGGGAATAACATTCACTTTACTCATATCCGCTTCACTCATGATGCTTTCTTCGATGAGTTTTACGAAAGGATCAACGGCTCGTTTCCGAGAATTTTCCGGTTTTGTAGGTGCCGGTGATGATGCCGACATTGCCTCACATCTTGGCTGTTTTTCCACGGATGATGATCTGATGACATTGCCAAAAGGCGTTGTAAACTGTGACTGCTGCCAACTTGCACTCTCACAGCTGGCACTCTCATCATGCATTGCGTGGTCATCGGAGCCAATCAGTGTGTCTGACATCATAGTCAAGATGTCATCTGTGAACATCTTTTCAGTCTTTTTGGAATCGATCTCTTGTTTCTGAAGGGCAAGTTTTTTCCGTCCTTCCTCTTGTCTGAAAAGTAACAATGAAAGTTGAGTGAAGGAACTTTGTCTAAATGTGCAGTCAGGATTGTTTCAGATTTATAATTTGCAGACTTTGAATGAGAGCTGACAAAAGCATCACTCACTCACTCCAGCTGTATCAAGGCAGCCTCTGTTTGAGTGAGTTTTACACCATCTGCTGTTATCTTGCTTACAGCTTAGGCCATATATAAAAACCTTCTTGTGTCTCATTACTGCCCAAAACTCGACCCGACCCTGAGATTTTATATATTTTTTTACATTAGATGCTCAAAATGTGCATGAATTTTTCACACTTCTAAGTTTTGATTTTCTATTGGAGAAAAGGTGTAAATTTCCACAGAAATCAAAAGGTTTTAGTCATAAAATAAAATAAAATGTAAAAATATTTTTTTATGTGGCCTTATATTGACAAAAGCTTTGACACCGCCTTTTGAAAAAGGAAGGGGGTGCATTCTCTGATTTTTAGTTAATTCCTTAATTGTGGAATTTTGGACACAGTGAGAGTTTCACATGACGCACAAATGTGCATCAAATATGCAACAAATGTTGAGAAGGGACCCCCCCCAAAATTCACTGCATCCTGAAGGACACACAATATAATTCATTGTACCACAACACATCTATGACTTTGCTAGGTGTGTTTGGTTGTTTCTTTCAGAGCAGTTACATGCATCATTTCATCCATCAGTCCACATGATCAATGATTAATTCCAGACTCTAAAGAACTTATCAAAACATACAGTTCTCTACACCGTTACTTCACAGGACCCTCATATTGCCTGCAAGGGCCCCTAAAACTATTAATCACGGTCCCCTAGACCCCCATGTTTGTGAGTCAAGGTAAAACACTGCACAGTGTTTCTATGTGTTTACTGCTACAATATACATCCCTGCATTACTGTTCCCTCTAATCCGAATCTACCAGACAGAATCATTCTAATCTTGATTGAGATAGAAAACCTTCAATATAATATTGCCCTTGAGCGTATTCTGACATGGTAAGGTATGCCTGACATTTGGTGAAAGTGATTACAATCTTACTGCAATCTGTCTCAGACTTGTCTAAACCTGACACTTATCAAAACATTCTGATTACACTGTCAAATTACTAAAGCATATGGTCAGGCTGGCAGAAACAATAAGGTAACACTGTCAGCTTTTTTCTAATACATGGTTCAGATCTACAATGAATATTGATAACACTTTCAACTTACTGTCTGATTTGGTTCAGACTGACAATGAATGCTCTCATACCATCAACTTACTCTAAGACTTTGGTTCAGACTGACAATGAATGCTCTCATACCATCAACTTACTCTAAAACCTGGTTCAGATTGACAGTGAAAACTGCTAACAACATCAACTTACTCTAAGACTTCGTTCAGACTGACAATGAATGCTCTGCTAACACCATCAACTTACTCTAAAACCTGGTTCAGACTGACAGTGAACACTGCTAACACCATCAACTTACTCTAAGACTTCGTTCAGACTGACAATGAATGCTCTCATACCATCAACTTACTCTAAGACTTTGGTTCAGACTGACAATGAATGCTCTGTTGGCACCATCAACTTACTCTAAGACCTGGTTCAGACTGACAGTGAACACCATCAACTTACTCTAAGACTTTGGTTCAGACTGACAATGAATGCTCTCATACCATCAACTTACTCTAAGACCTGGTTCAGATTGACAGTGAACACCATCAACTTACTCTAAGACTTTGGTTCAGGCTGACAATGAATGCTCTGCTAACACCATCAACTTACTCTAAGACCTGGTTCAGACTGACAATGAATGCTCTGCTAACACCATCAACTTACTCTAAGACCTGGTTCAGATTGACAATGAACACTGCTAACACCATCAACTTACTCTAAGACTTTGGTTCAGACTGACAATGAATGCTCTGCTAACACCATCAACTTACTCTAAGACTTGGTTCAGACTGACAATGAATGCTCTGCTGACACCATCAACTTACTCTAAGACTTGGTTCAGACTGACAATGAATGCTCTGTTGACACCATCAACTTACTCTAAGACTTTGGTTCAGACTGACAATGAATGCTCTGTTGACACCATCAACTTACTCTAAGACTTCGTTCAGACTGACAATGAATGCTCTCATACCATCAACTTACTCTAAGACATGGTTCAGATTGACAGTGAACACTGCTAACAACATCAACTTACTCTAAGACTTCGTTCAGACTGACAATGAATGCTCTCATACCATCAACGTACTCTAAGACCTGGTTCAGATTGACAGTGAACACTGCTAACACCATCAACTTACTCTAAGACTTCGTTCAGACTGACAATGAATGCTCTCATACCATCAACTTACTCTAAGACTTTGGTTCAGACTGACAATGAATGCTCTGTTGACACCATCAACTTACTCTAAGACTTCGTTCAGACTGACAATGAATGCTCTCATACCATCAACTTACTCTAAGACCTGGTTCAGACTGACAGTGAACACTGCTAACAACATCAACTTACTCTAAGACTTCGTTCAGACTGACAATGAACTTGGCCTTTTTGGTCCACTGGTCGCGGGCTACACAGGAGGAAGATTGTATGAAAATGTAGGTCCCACTGGCAGTCTTCACACGGAATATTGTCTTCGGGACAAGGTCGTCTTTCATAACTGAAACACAAGCAAATTCAAATAACTCCATTACAGCACAATGTTATTATTCATCTATCTATCTATCTGTCTGTCTGTCTGTCTGTCTGTCTGTCTGTCTGTCTGTCTGTCTGTCTGGCTGTCTGTCTGTCTGTCTGTCTGTCTATTTTATTCTTATTTATGTATTTATTTTACCACAACAACTAAATCATAAAACAAGGACTAAAAATCACCTCATTTCAGACACAGTAATCAAAGAATACCATCTTTTAACTCTGAAACATCCTTGCTTCTCTGACCTACTGCATCCCCATTTTATTCAGCACAACAAGGCTATATGCCAGCAGAACTTCATCTGAGGCCAATGACATGATACTACATGAATCAGGTGTCTAATAGAATTGTACTTTCTTGATTCCAGGAATATATCGACTTGCATTGTATGCTGTTTCACATATAGCCAGACGTCTTGTAACACAAGAATGCCCATTCCTTGTTTTTAGAGCCAGCTTAAAGTAAAAGATTCGATGGCATATATTGAGTTCCATTAATAGAAAGTCATAATTTTAAATGTTATTTTTCCCAAACTCATCTTAAGAGAATTTCTGTGTGTTTTTGGTTTTTTGTTCACAGCTCATCAGCTCGCATCAGAGCAGAGTGTTTGTAATATGATAAATGGATATGATGACCTCAATCTTGCAATGGAGCTGAGGTGGTAAATAGGTGAGTGAGTGAGTAGGTTTAGGATTTACGCCGCCTTTAGCTATATTCCAGCAATATCACAGAGGAGGGGCTTAACCCGAGCCCTGATCTTCGGCGTAAAGAGTGAATGCTTCAAGCAATAGGTTAACCCCCCACCGGCCAGGGAAATACTTGAAAAAATATCTCTGCATGTGTGTTTCTCTCTCTCTCTCTCTCTCACACACACACACACACACACACACACACACATTTACTGGATGTCCAAAAATCGTTTTTACAAAACAATTGTTCCAAGAAATACTTGATAAAAAACTTTGCATTTGTGTTCTATACAAAAAATAATCATTCACTGGGTGTTCTGAAATAATGTGCTGTACGTTAAACTATCAGTTTTGTCTCCTTCTTAAAAAGGGAGTGAGGGATTTGGGTTCAATGCCAATATAACAGTATTGTAGTTATACCATGGTTTGTCAACTTAATGGGGAAAGCTTGAAGTGATATGGGTATTAGATATTTACCACCTTTTGAAAACTGAAGAGTGAGTGAGTGAGTGAGTGAGTTTAGTTTTATGCCGCAATATTCCTGCTATATGACGGCGGTCTGTAAATAATCAAGTCTGGACCAGGCAATCCAGTGATCATCAGCATAAACATCGATCTACGCAATTGGGAACCAATGACATGTGTCAACCAAGTCAGCGAGCCTGACCAACCTGATCTCGTTAGTCGCCTCTTACGACAAGCATGGGTTACTGAAAATCAATTCTAACCCGGATCTTAACGGGTCTTGAAACTGAAGAGCATGGGTACAGTGCTGCTGAATACACAGGGCATCAAGGATTAAAACCCACTATCAGAATTTCGTCTCTGGTCTTCTTTCAGAAAAAAACATAATGTTGAATGTCTAGTGACTGAATTTTGTTGTTGCCTCTCACAAAACTCTCACACTAGGCTGACTGACTGACTGAGTTTGGTTTTACGCCGCTTTTAGCAATATTCCAGCAACATCACGGCGGGGGACACCAGACATGGGCTTCACACATTGTATCTCCCACTAGGATGCTCCCAGGCAACTTCTAGGTTGATTTGTTTGAATCTGCATTTAATCAGAGCCTGTCCACCAACTTGGGAAGGGAATTAGTAGATCGGCTATTTCTGTGTGATACGACTGAGCCAAGCAGCACACTTGGATGGTAATAGTGATAAGTATACTGCACGCAACTGACTTCCCCGGGGAATCTCAGACAAGCTATTGATGGGGCCTTAGGATTATCAAGGATGATGCGAGATGTGAGGTTTGGGTTGATGAATCCAAATAAAATATAGAGGAAAAGGAGTGTCTCGGAGAAGTTGGATTTGGAATTTCTAAGAGACGCTATTATTGGCAAACAAGGATAAGTTGAGCACCGACCTGACAATTGACCCGTATCAGCATGTATGAGTGCAGCCCACTGGCCCTTGCCATTGTTAGCGAAGGGGCCCCAGGTTGTCCGCAATCAAGTGTTGTGCGACTTGCTACACTGACGTGAGAGTCTTATGAGCAAGGTGCGTGCAGCTACGCGCGGAATCAATTTCATCGTCATGTAATGCACGTGCACTAGCCTACATCTGCTCTACCTTTCACAAACCAAATGGGTTTGGTCATTGCCGTGCACCGCCTACTTCTCGTAAACGCGTTCTGTGCGTCAGTCCAACTTATCCTTGTTTGCCAGTAGTTAGGTTGGGGCTTTATTATAGAAGATGGATGTTTTGGAGATTTCTCAGAGAAATAGGGTGGGGATGAGTGACTCCTCGGAGAAGGGGTGAATTAGAAGCAGTGAATCGAAATCGGTGAATTAGAAATGAGGTTTTGTGTTTACTCAAGCAAGAACAAAGTGGGGTTGATGTTTCTAGGTTTCTGAGAGAAACTGAAAATGGGTTTGGTGGTTCTTGGCAGAACAGAGAAGGGTGGTGGGGTTTCATTATAAGTCTGGAAATGGAGCTGAGGTTTCTCAGAGAAGTTAAAAGTGGGGTTAAGGTGGGTCTCATAGAAGGAAAAAGTAGGGCTTGGAGTTTTCTGCAGCAGTTGAATTGGGAATTAGGGGTTTCTCAATAGAGAAAAATAGATGGGGTTTTGTGGTTACTTAGAAAGGAAAGAAGTGGGGTTAGGGGTTTCTGAGAAAAATGAGAAATCTGGTTGAGTTTCTTAGCGAAGCTAAACTGGGTTTCTCACAGAAGGAAGAATTTGGCTTTGGGTGTTCTCACAGAAGTGGGGTTTCTTAAAGTGAGTGAGTTTTATGCTGGCGGCAGTCTGTAAATAATTGAGTTTGGACCAGACAATACAGTGATCAACAGCATGAGCATCGATCTACACAATTGGGAACCGATGACATGTGTCAACCAAGTCAGCGAGCCTGACCACCCGATCCCGTTAGTCGCCTCTTACGACAAGAATGGGTTACTGAAAATCAATATTCTAACCCGGACCTTCACGGGTATGGAGAAATGAGAAGTGGGGGTGGGGTTTCATGGGGAAATTAGACATGTGGTTATTTTGAATTTTTTTTATCAAGAAATGAAAATTAGGGTTGGGTTCATTAGAAGATTGCAGCTGGACCAGCCCAATGTTACTTACAGATCTACAGTGAGTGAGTGAGTTTAGTTTTATTCCACACTCAGCAATATTCCAGCTATATGGCGGTGGTCTGTATATAATCGAGTCTGGACCAGACAATGATCAACTGCATGGGCATCGAACTGTGCACTTGTGATAGGATGACATGTGTCAACCAAGTCAACGAGCCTGAACACCTGATCCCGTTAGCTGCATCTTACACCAAGCATAGGTTACTAAAGATCAAATCTAAACCGGATCTTCACAGGTCTACAGATCTACATCTTGCAAGTAGCGGAGAAACAAGTTGTTTTGATAAAAGTAAATTAATAGAACCTTCATTTGAACGAAATCAATTTCTATTTGATCCTTAATAAAAGGGCTTAGTCATACAAATGAAAAACTTATAATCAATGGTCATTTGAACACAATATCCGATTCCTGGTATTGTCTGTGAATCCCCGGTTAATGTAATAAAGTGTACAAGGTTTCATTGATTAATTGCCAGGATGTCTAGACCATGCTAGGATCACTTAGCCAGATTACACCAATAAAATCACCCTTGCTGCAGAAAGTGTATTTTTATTTTGTGGTTGTTTGTTTGTTGCTTACTCCTAAACAATATTCAAGCTATGTGGTGCTGAGTCTTGACCGAAAAATCAATAAGAAACAACATGATTGGCTGGTTGGTTGGTTGTTTAACGCTGCACCTAGCAATATTCCAGCTAAATGCCAGTACTCTGTAACTATTCAAGTCTGGACCAGACAATCCAGTGATCAACAACATGAGCATCGATCTACACAATTGGGACATGATGACATGTGTCAACCAAGTCAGCGAGCCTGACCACCTGATCCTGTTAGTCACTTCGTATGACAAGCATGGGTTAAAGAATGAGGACTATTTTTATGGATATACAACGTCTTTATTCTATACAGGCGACGTTTCGACATAGAGTCTAATGTCATTGTCAACATTAGAATCTATGTCGAAATGTGGCCTATATAGAATAAAGTTGTATATCCATAAAAAATAGTCCTCATTCTTCATCTACCCAACTTCTAGAATGCCAATCAAAGAAGTCAAGCATGGGTTGTTGAATTCTAACCTGGATCTTCACAGGTCACAAGCAGGAAAAAATATTATGCCTATACAGATTTAGAAAACAATATTTACAGGATATACAGTATGTTCCAAACAATTGAGTGCTGTGAGTCTGAAAACAATTATTTGGTAGCTCCTTTCAATGAAAAGATTGTATGTCCTGATATGCTGATTATGTTCAGCCTCCAATCTCCATCACTGTTCACCCCTAAAACATCATCTCAACCCCCACACGTCAAACCTAGACATTTCCACGCACCCAACCAACATTCCAACCCATGCCTCCAACCACACCTTACTCCATGCCTCACCTACAACCCATAACCCACCCTCACAGGAGTTTGGACTGCTTCAACTCACTCTTTAAGTGGCTTGCTGCAACAGCTTCCAAGTCTTCATGGTGGAGGAAGTTGTAGGGTGAGTACCCTACCCGCTCCGACGGATGGTACCCGGTGATGCAGCTAGATCTGGAAGAAAGGATAACAGTTATACAACATGGCAGACCTTTAATGGGATGTACGTACAATACACCTGTTTAACCAATATGATGAAACCCGTGTGGGCGGGCGAGCGAATGAGTGAGTATTTAGGTTATATCACAAGAAGTTTACTTAAGAATTGACATCAGTATTTCAGTGCCCACACCATATTTTTGTGAGTGAGATATTTTGAGTGTGAGTGAGTGAGTGAGTGAGTGAGTGAGTGAGTGAGTGAGTGAGTGAGTGAGTGAGTGAGAGTGAGTGAGTGAGAGTGAGGAGTGAGTGAGTGAGTGAGTGAGTATTTAGGTTATATCACAAGAAGTTTACCGTATATGACCGACTATAAGTCGGGCCCCTTTCTCAACCCTCTAAATTCTTGCCAAAACCATGTAACTCAAGTATCAGTCGGCCCCTTTCCCCGTACGAATCGGTATCACCGCCTCAATCTTCACGCGCGGACACGATGTTTAATGCAAAAATATATGCATGAATCATTTTTGGCACAGGTCATAACCTAGCACGATACGTCAAATAAATCCCATAATTTACGTATAGGTAGCGATTTCTTGCTTAATATGTTCAGAATAGCATTATTTTACCCAAAACTTTCGTCTACATCTAAAGTTTTTGTTTACAAGGACGGTATCCATTGCCGTAATATGATTGGCTGCCTTAGGTCACGTGTCTGGTTTTGACCAATCACGACCCTTATAGCAGACTGTGGCGAAAAAGCGTCATTAGAAACCAATTTTTATCCAATAAAATTGCTTCTTACAAGTGTGAAAAATACTCTCGGCAAGGGTACAGTGATATTGTTGATGTTCAGAGCTTTCGAACGATGCCGACATCAAACGATTCGCCTCGCATGTTATTCATACGAAGCTTCGAAAACGGAGGTATTTTCCGTTGTTGTGTCATGTTACCGAGCGAAAAGCCACTGATATCGGGAAATAGGCGACCACACATATTATTTAAGAAATCTTTTTATAATAATTTTCTGATCACGTAAAAATGAAAATATAAAAGAAGAGGTCACGGGCATTTTATGACATGTCACAAATGGAAAAAAATAGCTATAGTTTTGCTTCTTTCGTGGTTTATCTGGATATAAATGTAAACTTGCATTTTCATCATTAACAGTATTTTTCAAAACCACCACACAAAACTGCCACAGAATACAAATAAGTTTACTTTACGTGAAAACAAGTCGTGTCACGTGGCCAAACTTTATCGCGCGATAACGAAGTACCGGTAAGTGCATAGCTGTGATAAAAATATCTGATTAAATTTAATTTATTGTTTATACTATGAAATATATTTTACAAAACACAAACAACAAAGTTTTATGTTTTATTTGTCCCACGATGTCATTTACCTTTGGAAATGTTGTCAGTACGTATATGCGTCCTGCTTCCGGTGTAAACATTGGCAGTTGAGTTCGCAGGGCTGGCAGATTCACACACCTGATCTCGGGATTTTTTTGGGTAGATTAATGAACTCAAGTATAAGTCGGGTCTGATTTTTTACCTTCATTTTCTGGTATCAAATTTCCGACTTATAGTCGGTCATATACGGTAATTAAGAATTGACATGAGTATTTCAGTGTCCACGTCATATTTTTGTGTTATTTCCCTAATGGCAAAAACATGTTGAGCTCAATACTTATAAAAGAATATGTCAACAACAACAATGAAATACACTTCAGACTTTATATTTAATCAACAAAAATAAAATGCAGAAAACAATATGTAATCTGCAATCTGCAATAATACAGCCTCTAAAGCTATTGTCAGTGAGTGAGTTTAGTTTTATGCCGCTTTTTAGCAATATCACGGCTGGTGACACCAGAAATCACTTGACACATTGTACCTGTGTGGGGAATCGAACCAGGTCTTCAGTCTGACAAGTGAATGCTTTAACCTCTAGGCTACGCCAAACCCTGTTGTCAGTGAATCAGGAAACAAGTTTGATGAAACCTTAAAACATGTGCATGTATTAACCATGCTGGGTTCATATAGCAAGAAATCAGGGGCTGTATATGGTATACTAGTAATCGGCGCTTGTAGATCTCCAATAAGTATCCCTGACACATTCATAAACCAGCATGTAGGTATTCATTTAAATAAGTGTTCATTTATAATAAGGCCAAAAGTTTATATGACTGACTGACTGTATGGTTTTACGCCGCTTTTAGCAATATTCCAGCAACATCACGGCGGGGGACACCAGAAATGGGCTTCACACATTGTACCCATGTGGGGATTCGAACCCGGGTCTTCGGCGTGACGAGCCAACGCTTTAACCATTAGGCTACCCCACCGACCCAAAAAAGGTTTATATGATAATCCGTATGTTTTCATGGATATTACAGATATATTTCTGTGTAGAAGGAGTATGTGACTGTAACCTACAAGGTTTTAGTATCATAAATGTTTTATATATTACTTTTTTTACAACCAAACAATGTCTGAAAACAAATTTCAACTTGTGTATGGTTTTACAGAGAACTTCAATGAAGGAGGAGAAAATGACTGCCAAGTGAATATAATCCAGATTAATCCAACGATATACCATTGTCCATTCAGATTTTGTCTGATCTTCACAAGGCCCAGTTTAGTCATATGAGAGGCACCCCAACAACATCAATGAACCCCCACGAATGTTTCTGCAAAGCCAAACATGAGCTCATCCTTTAGTCACAAACAAAAGAAATCAACTTTTATCTGACCAGCCGACCCTTCTCCATGACGTCAAATTCCAATGACATCAGGCTTGACACCAAGTTAATCGTTTTGTTTTGTTCTCTGCCGATAACAACAAACATCTGACAGTCATCTGGCTCTATATCTGGACAATTTTAGATGATTCAGGCCATTCTGTTAGACAAACAATGATGTACACCATGTGGCATGAAGGGATGAAGTCTGTATCCCCCAAGGAGTTGTCCCTCGTGGCCAACCTGAATGATGACAGTCCTTAACGTCAATAGATTGCTGTTGTTTTCTAGCCAATAGGCTGATAGTCAGACGACAACCAACATCTCTTACATGCCAGCTTTCCGCATACCAATAACCTGCCATCTTTGACCAGCTGTCAGTTGAGGAGGATACATATTTGCTTATTAACAATGAACCGATTGATTTTCCATTTTATTGATCTGTAAAAACAGTTTACTGAAACTTGATGTTTGCTAAATGACAGGTACACATATTGATGCTTGCTTTTGATCACAGCATGGGGACATCTTAAATCAATGAATGGTGTACCTGGAGGGTCAAAATGATCATACAAACAAGCATTGTCACTAAGGTGACATAATCCCTCACCGCAAATTATCAAATCAAACTTAAAAAAGTAATGAGTGTGAAGGTTGTAGTTTAAGATGAAGTAAAATGTCAACAAAAACATGACCAGTCAACCTCTCTTGATATCTTGCTCTGCAGTTGTTCAAACACACAAATATTTTCAAGACTCACTTTGACCTTGACATGAATGTCATGGTGTATGAAATATGCAAAAACAGAAATTGCTTCTCAAAAAACATTCAAGAGAAGTCTTGAAGGTCTATGAAGAAAATCCAGTGAACCGTTCTTGAGATACCTTGCTGACCTTGTTAATATGCTGAAATCTTCAATTTAGTGTCACTGTGAATGAAGGTCAAGGTCACCAAACCTGACTGGGAACTTTTGCATGCTGTGATGAACCTAATACCAAAAATGAAAAGAACCTAGTCAACGGTTCTCAAGATATTCCAATTCGTGATGCGTACGTACGTACGGCAGGAGATAAGAAGTCAGTGAGTAAAGTTTTACGCCGCTTTTTCAATATTGCAGCAAAATCACAGCGGGAGACACCAGAAATGGGCTTAACACATTGTACCTATGTGGGGAATTGAACCTGTCAGTCTTAACATGGATTATAACTGCTCGTACTAGTGATGTATCGTATATAGCGTGCATGAGTGAGTGAGTGAGTCAGAGTATGCTTTTATGCCACTTTTAGCAATATTCCAGCAATATCATGGCAAGTTACACAAGAAATGTTGTCACAACCCCTAGTGTACAGTACACAACCCTGTGCACTAAATAGAACCCACGAATCCGTTGGTATATGACAAGATGGTGGCCACATGAATACGTGCAAACACCTAGTTGCGGGTACAGCAACGTGCACTAAACGTTGACAAAGTAGTGTGACTATTGTCCCAGTCCACCCAGCTGTGAATAGGTACCTCGTAAGGATGGGAAAGCCACAATAACCCAGTGCGCCTAGTGGCTGCAAGAGTTGTATGCTCCCTGGGAGTCGAGATTGATAATACGATGTGCCGTTGTGATTGACATCCAATGATCGAGGGAAAATTGACCAGTGCCTTGAGCATGTACTATTTGTGTGGATATGTGCTATATAAATATAATAATAATATAATTCCAATAATACCCAACCACACTACACATAAGTTGGAAGTTACATAAGCTCTGAGAAATATAATTGCTCCTGCCTAAATTAGCATTAAGAAGGCAGTTTGTTATCAGTTTTATCTCCTAGCCAAACATTCGAATGCAGATATATCTTTTTTACATTCTAATAAAAGACCATGGGTACAATGTGTGATGCCCATTTCTGATGTCCTCCGCCGTGATATTGCTGGAATATTGCTAAAAGCGGCGTAAAACCATACTCACTCACTCACTCACTAATAAAAGACTCCGCTCTATGGTGTGCACCTATTACCAGCTACAGCCTAGATTCTCATCACTTCTGTTTGCTGCCTCACGGTTGGCTACGAGCTCCAAGTTTTGCAGTATCACCCACTAGTGAAACAACCTTATTGTTAATGTGAGCAATCTTTTTGGAAGTCTGACAAGAATGTATATTTCGTGCCCAGTGAAAAATTGATTTTACATTTGTTGAATTAAAAAAAAAGAGATTTTTAGAAACATCTTAATTTCTAATGATTTTTAGGTCTGGAATCTGTAAAAAGATGAAAA